GACAAGAAATAAATGCCATTTCCTCATTCCATGTTTTTTCTTAGTTGGAATGACTTCTCCTTCCCTGGAACCTTCATTTCCTAAGAGACTTTGCTCAAATGATCCATTTTTCTAACTTTTGAATGGGGAAGGAGGATGTAAAAATCATAATAATTGGTGCTGAGAGCAAATTGAAGATGCCCAAAGCCTTCAGGCTCACTGCTAAAGGAGCAACCCAAAATTTCTAAGGACACAAATTCAATATTAGACTGGTTCACTCTTTGGAGGGGCTCCTGAATTTTTGGTTGGCAGTTGGCAAGGATTTAAATCTATTTTAAATAGATTTTAATCTGTTTAAATCTATTTTTATCTTTATCTTTTATCTTTATCTTTATTTTATTTTTATCTTTTCTATCTTTATTTTAATCTGTTTAAATCTATTTTGTTTTTAAAGGAACCACTTCAGTAGGGTGGTTTCTTAAAAAAGAAAATAAGTTCAGGATTCCCTTTTCTAGAAAAAGTGAACTTTTGCTAGAAAATGAGTTCAGGATCCCTGTTCAATTTGCTCTGATTTTGCAATGACATTATGTTGAATTGAGGGCAAATTGTGTGAAATAATTCCTGGGGAACACTATGGAAATTTGATAAAACTTCTGTTTTCACAACCAAATTCATCTGCTTTTTTAATTACTGTTTTTCCTTTTTTTTTTCATCAAGGATATCCTGGAGCTCTTGGAGAAGAGAGTGAAGTCAAGGTTCTCCCACAGACAGATATATTTGCTGAATTCCTTTGATTTTAAACAATACATGAAGATATTTAAGAAACAGCTTTCTCTTCCTGCTGAATTTCCTGATGAATCTTTTGCACAAAAATGGAACAATAATGTTCAGGTACTTGAAGCATTTTATACTTGATTTTAGGAAAAATTCTAAAGTGAGAGCAGTGTAAAGCTGGTTTAGTTTACACTTTTACTGGTAAAGGATATGTGTGTAAAGCTTTTATCTATTTCCTTTCACTGGCTGAGTGTGACATGGAATAAATTAAATTATTATAGAGAATCTTTGCTTATTGAAATCTGGAGGTAAAATTGTCACAGGAAAGACCAGAAAGTTGAGGTTGGACATGGAAATTGTATTGTTAGATGTAAGCTCTTTTAAAAACACATTTCCCTGTTATTTTTCCAGGTGGGTATGAAATGATTAGAAGTGAATGTGAGATGGTTGGAACATGGCTGTGCTGTCTCTTGCAGCTCCTCTCCGAGGACAGGGCCGTGCAGGGGGTGCTGCAGAGCCTCTTCCAGCACAGCAAGGACCTGCGCTCGCTGCACTCGCTGCTGGTCTGTACTGGGNAAGTATTTCTAGTATTCCTTAAGCATTAATTATTAATAGTATTCCAAACTTAAATATTCCAAAGTTTTTCCAAAGTATTTCTAGTATTCCTTAAGTGTTTATTATTAATACTATTCTTTAAGTATTTCAAAGTTTTTCCAAAATATTAACTATTTATTGTATTCCTTAAGTATTTTTTATTAATAGTATTTCAAACTTAAATATTCCAAAGTTTTTCCAAAGTATTTCTAGTATTCGTTAAGTGTTTATTATTAATACTATTCTTTAAGTATTCCAAAGTTATTCCAAAATATTAACTATTTCTAGTATTCCTTAAGTATTTATTATTAATAGTGTTCCAAACTCAAGTATTCCAAAGAAACTTTGTTCAGAGGCGTGGAGAATTTGGAAATGTTGTTTTTAATATTTCAAACCAAAGAATTCAACCAAAAAGCAGGATTTTTAATATATTATCAACCTTTTTTGGTCTGTCCAAAAAGGAAGTCTATGCAGGCTTCCTAGAGCTCTCATTTTGCCATGGAATTTCTATTAAAATATTCAGTTTATATTAAAATATTTCTATTAAATCCTGAGTTGGGTTGTACAGCATGAAGTACCAGTGGACATTTTTGAAAGCAGAGTTTTGGGAGTGATGGCCTCCACAGCATTTCTGAATTTGCTGGTTTTTTTAATTGTAATTTTTGATTAAAAATTGATTTTTAATTACAAATTTTTTAATTTGTAATTAAACAGCTCTGAGAATGACACTGCAAATCCATTCTGAAACTTCTTTATTCTGTCTAGGGCAGTTTTGCTGAGAACCTTGCCTTCCTCCTTGAGGCTCTGAGGAAAGGTAAACCCTGAAAACCCTGTTGTGAAACTCTGGGTCACTTGACTGGAAAATGGAGTTTTTCCTTCTGCTTTACAGGTGGAATGAAGAAACTTAGCCCAAAAATGTGTCATGGTTACAAAATCATGTAAAGAATAATTAATACTGATTACTACACTGAATATAGTGTATACACCTGATAATGATATATCCACCTGCTGGGACTGCTAAGGCTTGCATGTGATGTTAGCTGTGAAGGACAGATTCTTTTATCCAGATTGATGCTATTAAAAATATTGTTTTAAAAATAAAATTGGCCAAGTCTGTGTTCCTTGCAGCCAGAAATGCTGTTTGAAAGAACACTACAAAACCTTCCCACTTTTTCCATGTATTTTCCTCTTTGCTGTTGCACCTGTAGGGAAGGAGGGCTCAGTGAGAAGCTGAAAGGAAATCTGTGCATTTTTAACCCCATTCACAAAGCAAGCTGCAGCAATGGAAGCCTCATGCTGGAGTGGCCCTGCTAACTCTGCACCTTTCTCTCAGGAGACAGAAGCAGCAGCTGCCCAATTCTGTTTGTCCTGGATGAGTTTGATTTGTTTGTGCACCACAAGAATCAGACCCTGCTCTACAACCTGTTTGACATCTCCCAGTCTGCACAGACCCCAGTGACAGTCATTGGGCTCACCTGCAGGCAGGTAAGGAATTGTCTGGTTTATCTGGTCTGTTTGAGGGGCCTGGAAAGGCC